CCAGCACCCAACACCCCCAGTGCACAACAGCACCAGTGCAAAGTACCCAGAGATGCTTCCACAGTTTGAGACATTTAAGCTCTTTAATCTGTTGTGCGTATATGCTTCAGTGGTATAGGGAGGTACCATATGAGAAATAAAGCTGTACATTTTTCTGTGGTACTTCAGTCTTAGGAATAAAAGCAAGATCTGCTGTGGGAGGACTGTATTAAGTTGCTTTGGTGTTTGTACATGATATTCATGAGCAGGGGGGAACAGCTGGGTAACCTTTGTTCCTGGCTGAAATCGTATGCAGACCTGGTTGGAATAAACTATTTTAGGTCCATTAGAGTTGCCACACCATAACAATTTACATCACTTGACCCTTTTTAAGACTACTTCAGATTTTTTTCAGTTTCTTTCTAAACTGTACTGCCCTCCCAAATAGACCATGCCCTCCCAAACTGTTTTATGCTGTGTGCCCAGCCTAGTAGTTAATAATGCGTGGGATAACTTTGTGCTGAGTTAATCCAGTGTGTTCAGCAAGTGAAGGCATTTAGGCGAGGACCAGTGAGGCAGGGGTTTCTGCGCAGTGGCAGCTGTGATGGGGGGGCATCTGGGCTGTACTAGTCTTGAGCTACTGCTGCCCGACTGGGCCATGCAGGGAGAAGATTGATATGGGGGATTAGATTTCATCCCAGTGAAAACTGTTCTTCATGGTGTTATCTGTCATGGGGCTGTCTTCCGTACTTTTGTTCTTGGCATGAAGCAAGAGCCAGTTATAACATGTTTTTGAAGAAACAGTTTAGTGCATTTGCTTGAAGGTATCACCAGGCCTGACTGTCCCTTCCTATGACCTCCCCTCATCCTGCCCACAGCCCAGAGCCCTTAGTGATGGCCCAGGCTGGCCTTGGCCTGTCCCTATGCCCACAGCCCTGCATTCTGACCCTGGTTACTCTCTCAGGGCCTGATTCTCACCCGCACCTACAGGCCCATGTCCCTGGGGAGGTAGCCGGTGCCCGGGGCTGGTGCTGCCCTCCTCCCAGTTGGTGCAGTGGGACAGGCCGTGGCTGCCAGGCCCTGGGGAGCCGCTGGAGCCCTTGGCCCTGACGTGCTCTAGCAGCAATGTAGGCATTGGTGCACTCTTACATCCTCCTCAGAGGTACCTGCTAACCCCAGTGTGCTGTATGAGGAGGCTATGCATACACATGCTTCAGAGTCCACACGGCTTGTGAATAACATGATCCATTAGTGCAGCTTTTTTTTTAAAATGAAGGTATTATGTGCAAAAGAAAAACAGCAAAAGATGGGCTATTGAAACTTTTATGTCTTTGGTTCATAGATACCTGTTTATAAAAGTGCAGAGGTGTCCGGGGCACCTCTGGTATGGGTTAGGAAAATATGAATGGAAAAAAGCCATGTATCTTGTGTATGAAATATTTCATTCACTTTGTTAACAAATTGCACTTAGCGGGAAACTATACAGATCCAGTAGTTTTTTTGCAGTCATTCACATTTTAAAAACATATTTACAGTAAATCTGCGTAACTGCATTAGGGTCTTGTGATTGATGGATCTTTCTTTGATTTGGCAGAGGATGGGTCGAAAGGAGGGCCACCTGGCTAGATTTTATCCATGATGATGGCTGAGCAGCATCAGACTAGAACACACAAGGTAATTCCTGCAATTTTTCGTGCAGGCAGCCTGAACAGAATATATTTGTATCACATCTGTGCATTTTAGTTAGTAAAATATATTTTGAAAGTGCTCATCCCTCAGTTCAATGTCTTGCCATAGACTGAGAAACATTTTTATGTGGGGTTTTGTGCATTTGTTTTGGTTGTGGCTTATAATTTTTCTTTTAGCAAAGTCATTGTCTAGTATTGGGAAATAGGCAGCTGCAATAAAATTAGAGCATTTTTTCACAGTAAGCCCTTTACACCATATTCATATCCTCAAGGATATAATCTCTCAGGAAGAATGTGTGTAGTTGTTATGCACATAAAAACAAACAAATGGTTGAAAAACAGGAATAAGAGGAGGATCTCCAAACAGATATGCATAATTTTTGGAAGAAACCTCAGTGATAGTGTAATGTTTGGTGGGTAGAGATGAAGCTGGGACATGATCCAGGTTGTAAAGTCAGTAACAGCAATCTTATATCCCAGCCATTGGCCACTAACCCTGTGTATTATGGTACTAACCTAAAATGGTATTGCAGCAGCAGCACTTAATTTGATAATCCCGGTTCTTAAAGCAAATGTTTTCTGTAAAATGCAATTGCTATTGCAGACACTGCCATAGTTTTCTGAGTTGCAAGAATGAGACTTTTAGGGCTAAGGAGCAAAGAAACTCAACAGTGAACTGAGGTTATGTGGAATAACATGCTGCAGAGCCATCCATTGGAAAGCAAGACCAGAGCCCCATCAAAACTCCCTGAATGCCACTTGCAGTAGGCCTAAAATGGTTGATGGATTTACAATTGTTTCTTAAATTCATTATGTGGAAAAAACAGTGTCAGTAAAGCTACCAAACAGCTATGATGCTTTCAAAAACCGCAATTGAATTTTCATATACCACCTTTCATTCTAACGAGTTTACTTATTGTGAAGTTGTTGTATGGAGCAGCTGAGGGCACTTAATACACATTAGTTTTTGTTGGTATATGTACAACTGTATGTCATGGGCTGCTTTGAAGAATTAAACCTATGTTTGTACAGGTGTGGGCAAAAGCTCTATAGAAACCTCTCTACAAATAGTAATTTGCATTTCAAAATTAATATACTTCAGCAAATGATTGTACCCTTTCCAGAACTTCTTCTTCCAAATGCAAAATTGAATTGAATTCACATAATGAAGGTTAATAGAAAGAAAATTCAAACTTACATGCATGAGAATTTGTAGAAAGTGAACTTGGATTTCACAGAGTGAATATTTTCCTTCAAAATTCTTTATAATAAAAATTATATACATTCTGCCAAATAACAGGATTGATATCGTGTGATCAATTTCAACTCACCAGTATAGCACAAGGAACAGTGATAAATAATTGCAGTGAACTCTTTTTAGGTTCAAAAAGCCAAATACGTCAAGAATATATGGATTAATATATTTGCATAGATGGAGTTAGTAGCCAAAGGAGGTAGCTGCTTGATAAATAATTGAGAATAGAGTTTTATTTCTTTGTTAACTATGTTGACTGAACATATTAAATCCAGAAAAATAGAGAGGACTGAACTGTTCATTTTGGACAACATACTGATTTCTAGTATATCTGAGAAATGCAATGGTTTAGAGTAGAATGGATCAGAAAAGTGATTTTCTTATGAAATGAAGGAGACTTTTCTGTGTTATTCTGGAGTGTAGAAACCTAACTGGGAAACGTCCCTTAACAATCTCTTTTAAAAGGCAGTGAAAAGGGCAGGAATTTAATGCTTTTCAGTGGACATACTGGCTGAGACAGAGAGAGACAGGGAGGTTTTAAATATCAAAATTAATCTTAATCTCTTGAGCAGCACAAAGGGGAAGACAACTCCAAAATTCAAGTGCTGTTTTTGTTGCTCTAGTCTGTCTCTTGAAGCAGACTACACTGAATTAGTCCAGACTGGCAGAGGGGACAGAAGGAGCGGAAAAACTCTCCCTCAAGTGTCCATTGCAGCTGGATTATTCAGGCTGTGGTATGTTTCATGCTGAGGAGGAAACATGGGGCAGTTCATATCTTGTTCTCCTGCCATCCATGGGCATTCTTTCCAAACTTGTACACCAGCCTTCTGTCCACTCGTTCCAAAATGCCAGTTTTATAATAGTAACTGCAGAGGGAAAAATTAAAAAAAACAATGGAGAAAGTAGTAGTAGAAGTCACATTAAAAGAGGTCTTTACATGGACTTCATGCCACAAGAATCGTTTTTTTTACAGAGAGCTCCTTTCTTTCTGTTAAGTTGCTCCTGTGACTTTAAAGAGCTTTACACTTTCCCACGTGCCTTTGAGTATCCTTTCCACTGTTTGAAAGATACAAGAATTATAAAGAAATGTTCTTTGGCTGGTTATATTTTTTCCCTAAGATTACTACAGTTCAGAAGAAACCACTAGTGTCACTGCTACAGCAAAAACTGTCATTTTGTGGGGGCCATTTGGCAAACATAGTCTAAAATTCTCAACTGAAGCAAAGTGTGTTAGCTTTGTTGTCATCAGTAGAGTTACAACTCTGTACCGCTTTACATTTAGCGCTATGATATTGTTTAGAAACAAAGGAAACTGGTTGCTATCCCATGACCTATAGAAAAACATGAAGAAAAAAACCAGACACCCCGCCACCTACCCACTCTCCCCACACTCCTGAGTTTTCAGGATAGTTATGAAAAATGGATGCTGAGGTAGAAGTCAACTGAAATGAGGGGCCTTGCTGCCTGTTAACTCACCGGAGAGCTCTGCTCAATTTTTCATATGTCATTCTGTCATTTTTCTTCCTTTGTCCCCACATCTTTGCCAGAGCTTCTGATTTAACAACCCGAAAAATGCCTTGTCCCCTGTCTTCCCATTCCAGGATGCCACCATTTTTGTCAGGGGAAAGGAGCAGATCTCTTACAAATTCCCACAAATGAGAATTCTGCAGGTCTTGAACAGGAAGAAGACAGCTATTTAGTGGATGATTTATCACTCATGCCAAAGTACTAAGGCAGAATTATATTTATAGTACATTTTGTTATTGGGTTGTCAGTCTCGCAAACCAACTGCACTTATCTCAATTTAACTTTCAAAATTTTAGTGCAGTGCTTCTCTCTCACTGACTTCAAATTACTTGCTCCAGAAAAAAAAGAAATCAGGGTCATGCAAACACCTATGATGCTAGAATCTGTATTTTACTCCAGAAACTAGTGAATTTTACTGTCTTGTAAAGTTTATGTCATTCATAGCTTCTGTTCCACTGATCATCGATTACTTCAACATAGTATTTAACTTGATGTTTTAAAAGCAATTTTCAAGTTCATTTAAAGTGTTTTAAGTGAAAGATTGTAAAAAACATTGGCTCCCCTGAAAATGAGACAATAGTATGAGGAGTTGCAAAGCCTATTTCCCAGCATTGCTAGACTCTTCTCTGTTACTTCAATTCAGTTCAAAAGTTTGAGCATCAGATGTACTATAAATAATGAGACTCTACTATAAGAGCCAGTCATATACAGCAGTTGCCTTAACTTCAGATTAGTTACTAGATAATCAAGGTGCTGGGGGTTAAATGAATGTTCAGTCCCAACACTGACCAAAAGCATTTAAAAATTGTGAGTCAGACCCCCCCAAAGTCCTGAGAGCAACATAAGAATAATGACAATTATAAAAATATCTGAGGTTTATTGTTTGTTTTTCTGCATTTAGAGCCTTTAGGTTATTTTCAGCTTATGTTTTTCTAGTAACTCTGCCACTAAGCTAGCTAGAAGCACTTTAAAAAGGTAAACAGAAAAGGAAATGTGGCTTTAAGAAAAATGCCAAGTACCTCAAGTCTCATAATATAATCGTTGAGTGCTGGCAGTACTTAAAAGCCAAACCTCAGTGAAATTTTATTTATTTGTGGTGTCATTAAAGTTTCTTTTGATAACCACATGGAGCTGAAGAATTAAAGCAACATAGCCTGTGTAATCTTAACTCGAGTTTCGAGTTTCTGATATGTACTTACTTGTTCTACCATGACTGTGACATTCTTGGCCGTTGATGCTACCTGCCCTCATGCATGCCTTCTCACGGGCTGGGACCGAACTGCAGAATAACGTGAGAAGTGAAGAAGGAACTCCTGATTCTGGTGGCAACTTGGTCAAAAGGTCACCTATTCAAATGCCATGCAACATTAAGTCAAAGTGGGACTGTGAGCCACTAACTTTATCTCTTTAATAAAGCTCTAGCACAAAGGTAAACCCAAGTGAATAATTAACATGCAACTGTATGGACTGCAGAACAACAAAACATGAAATTTTTGTCAATGCTCTGTTCAAAATACTTGGATTCTGTAGCCATGTGGAATTTGGCATGGTGTGCATGGATGAAATGTACCCCTCCGTAATGCGCAGCCTGAATATTTCTTGGTTTAGTGCTGTGCAGTGCTTCTAAAAATTCAAAAATGCCTCAGCAGACCACATGCTTGCACACGTGACCAATAGCGTCTGTCTCAATATTGTAATGGTGCAGAGAGCAATTAGAAGAGGATAATGAATGACTGCAACTGGGAGGATTATCCAAGTCTGCTAACAATGCTTGTATGCAATCATAGAATCATAGAATACTTTGGGTTGGAAGGGACCTTTAGAGGTCATCTAGTCCAGCCCTCTGCAATAAGCAGGGACATCTTCAACTAGATGAGGTTGCTCAGAGCCCATCCAACCTGACCTTGAATGTTTCCAGGGTTGGGGCATCTACAGCCTCTCTGGGCACCTGTTCCAGTGTTTCACCACTCTAGTGATTAAAAAAAAAATTATATCTGCTTGTTACACACCTAGTGAGAAGGGTGATCAGTGGAATCCTGTGAGAGTGATTATAAACTGAAGACCAACATATCCATTTCACTGGATAAATAGCAGTGGGCTAAAAATAACAAAAATAGGGGAACTTTTGTGAAGATGGGCCTCAGTTTTATATTCTTATATCCCATTGTGTTTATGTTTCTCAGAGCTGACCTCCAAGAATTTATTTTGCTACATATGAAACCATAATATTCACAAAAAGATAGAAGCAAGATGTCTATGTACATGCAGGGCTATCTGAAGGGCTTATGCTTTCAGTTATGAAGGTTTCACAGCATATTTGGAGTCTGCTGCTGGCCCAAAAGAGCATCAGCTAGAATTGATAAGACAGTATTCTGGAATATATTTTTTCCTGACTGCTTCTTTTCCCTGGAGGTTTTCATGTTAATGAGTTTGTTCAGTATTCTTTTATTGGCTGAAGGGGTTGACCAAGGGAGTATACCACATTGCCTAAATCCTAATGCAGAATGCAGGTAAATCCAGCCAGAAGCACTAATACCCCAGAGCTGATTGAGAGTTATTAGACTATTAGAGCTGGTTGTGGTCAGAACTGAGTGATTACAGAATATTCTGATTGTGCTTAGGCATAGTCAGACACCTGATGTTTTGCTAGCATTACCATTTGCCTCCTCAGCAGATAAATAGCAAGCTTTGCTGTGTTTAGGATCAACAGTATCTGTATTTCTTACTGTATATTAGTCCACCAGCTGTACCATCTCCCGCAAAAATTCGAAGTATTCTCATGGAAATGAAGGCGTGCTTCTGCCATTTTGGAATGGCAAAAGAACAACTTTTCTTTGCTCAGTGCCTGACTTGCAAACTCAGTGAATATACAAAGGCTCCTGAGATCCTGCTTCCCTTCAAAATACCAGTTCAGGAATGTTTGGATCTCTGCTAATCTTTAGTTCTCTGTATACTGCAGGTATTTCAGAAAAAGCATTAGAGAAGAAGTAAATGGTCTGGATTTTTTTCATTTTTAGAAATTTCTTGAACTGCTAAATACTGCTAATCTTTGAATACAGTAGGTTTCCCATTGAAGGGAGCTTATTACATACAAACAAGTTTACTTACTGTCCTTAAGGGATGGCTTTGTTTCTTCTGCATCAGTAAAAAAGGAAATGCCTAAAAGGGAAAAACATCAGCCAATGTTCAGTTCTTTTCTTTACAAGAATAACTTCTGAACTGAAATTTAAAGCCGAGTCCTGGCCTTTTGCATCATTGCTTGTGAATATAGCTCAGAATAGAAGCTGTAGAAAATGCAGACTATAAAACCATGAAATAATTTTTCAACTTTGCTGCTGTTAAAACGATTCGTCCCTCCCACTACTCTGACTACGTCTGTGGGGTTTTTTTTAACTTTTGCGGTTTTTTCTTATCCTTTGCATTGTTTCTGTATGTCTCTATTCACATGATTCATGTGTATTAAGTTTCCTTTCTCTCTGGTCCCTTTGCATTTGGTTTTTGCTGTCATCTATATCACGTTTTCTCTCTCTTTACACTTTGATTAGTCCTTTATCGTTCAGCCCCTTGTCCCTTTAAAACTACTTCTGCAGTCTTCCCTCCCTCCTTCCCCTAAGTAAAAAAAATCTCTACTGCTGGAAATCAGATCTTCACAGGGCTGGAACTTGTCTACATTAGTAGGACAGTATCACCTTTGTAAAGGAGTCATTACAGTCACAACATGTAAATAAATGCATTGCACATACAAATCTGCATTCAAGGAACTTAATACCTGTTATGAGTCTGGCATGCAAAATTGGGAAAAGCTAGAATTAAGCCTGCTTGTGCAGCCATAGTTTGGTCCACTGCTTACATATGTTGTGGCAAGGTCTTGCATTAGTGGACCACATACTGCCTTTCCTCACAGACCTTATGTAAAGGTGAATATGCATGATCTGTTGTATTTAATTTACTGTCAAGTGTTCAATCTCTGCGCTGACTATAAAAAGTTAATTTTCTTAATGAGCTTTTCTTCCCAGCTCTGTATTCTTTAATTCCCTTAATAACATCCTTATCTCCTGCATTTAATAATCTCCTTCTGAATGGCCTGTCTGACATGATACATGAACACTGGGTGGAAGACAGAGATGGCTGTCAGTGCCACAGGAGAGCAATGCCAACCTAAAACACAGGGTTGTTTTGATCTTCCTGCAGCCTCTAGTCTTGGTCACCTCTCCCAGTCTTACCCATCCTATGGACAACAGTCTCAGTCACTGCACAACCCTACTTCATTTTGATAAGGCTTATCCACATATTTTCCTATGCTCTGCCTTGTCTCTGGTCTTCCCAGTCTTTCAGTGCTCCTTTTCCTTTCAGCTTCAGCCTGTCCCCCCCATATTTGCAGTGTACCCAGGTTACCCTCCACTACTGCCTTCTCCCTTTCTGGTCCCTGTGCCTTGCCAGCCACTCTCCCTGCTGGGCAGCTGAGAGGTAGGTAGGGGACCAGAGAAGGATGGCTAAGCTCCAGCATGTTATGACCGGGCAGCTGCTCACCATCGGGAACCGCTGGCAGTGTCAGCTGCCACGGGGCACTCCAGGACCTGCACGCCTAAGCCTTTCCTCCTTTTCCAGCAGCCCTATGGTTCCAGTTTGGTCAAATACTCCCCTAAGCCGGAGAAGGCTTGAGCCGTTGAGGGCTCCAAGCAGATAAAATGCTCCTCAGTTTCTCATTGCTAGGGCACAGGAAAATGACCTTCTGAATTTCCCTGCTTAGTGGAAACTCTTTTGCTCATATGATCACAATGAACCCTCGTAGAATTACCCTAGCTTGGCGTACATGCTAATTAATCTTTGGGAAGTAGTAAATATAGAGAAAAGGTATCTGCAGCAGAGATTTCGCTTCTATTTCACTTAGACAAAACTGTCAATAACTTAGTTTTTGAACCTAAATTCATTTAAGGAGTAATAAATCTTCCAAGACAAGGTTGAAATTAGTAAATAAAAATTGTTTCAATTCAAAAGCATCATTAAGCCTACTACTAATGAGGTGGATTATCAGTGCATACTGCACTGATAATAACCCCATCAAACAAAACTTCTTGCTTAGTTTTTAAGAAGCAGAGCAACTTTCACTACTTTGAGTTACAGGAATAACAATGTATTATCTCTTTCTATATCCAGTCAGGATGTAAACCTCCCTCAGATTATGCAGGTTGACCAGTTTCAGTAGAAAGGCCAAGGAGAGAGCAGTGCTGGGTTCTATTTGGAGATTTGACTGGCTCACAGAGACAAGTCTGGTTTACATGTGATTGTGAGGCCCAAAGTCACATTGAGCTTGTCTTCTGCCTGCCATATTTCTGTGTGCTCCTCAACGAGTATCTAAGCAGCTTCTGTATTTTGCCTTTCTTTAGCACTCAAGGCTGTGGATCCCACATTTTCTGTTAGCGTGAAATTCACACCAAAACATGCCATGCTTTTTGTTTTGTGTTTGATTTCTGGAACACTAACCGTGCATCCTGATATTCTGTAAGATGAAATACAAGTATTCACCACAAATGCCTGCAGCATCTAGGAACTCTTCCTGGGTCATGTTGCACAGCTGTAAGCCATTGATATTAAAGTGGGAAAAGGAAATGCAGTTGGCATCTAGTTTGTACTGGTCACAGCAAAACTGCAACCATTCACAGACGTTGTGCTTACTCCAATATTCTGGGTGGATGGATGTCCAGAAAGAATAAGACCCTGCAACATATTTGACAAGAAAGAGGAACATTGCAATGCAAAACTCATGGTGCACTTCATTTTAATAAGCATATTTCAAGCAAAACTAATCCCTCTTCCTTCTTCTGTTATGACTGCAGTCTTCCTTCCTTATTCCTCTAGAACACATCAAGTCCTGTCTTTTGCATTTTTCTGTCTGCTATTGTCACAGCCTTTTGTGTTTCAAATATTCATATTAATTGTGTGAGACATTTCAAGAGAAAGCGCTTAGATGTAAAAAAAAAAAAGAGCCTTTTAAAATGGCAATTAAAAAAAATTAAAAAAGGTCTGAGTACAGACTTTGTGAGAACTTAGCACTCTGCGATAAAAAGGAGTGATGCATTCCTAGACTAAAATAACCTTGGGTCTTAGATGTGGAAGTACTCTCATTCAAAGACACCTAGTTACACTCTGTGGCAGATGGGTAAATACCATTAATTTATTATTATTTTTCTTATAAGTCCAGCAAGTTCTTTCACTCCTTTCATCTAAAATATTGTTGTTAATGTTGTCGTAGGGACTATTTATTTGTTAGATTAGAAACTGAAAAATGTACTACTCTTAATACACTTATCACTGGAGAAACATTTCTGGCAGATAAAAAGAAGCATGAAAGTTCTTCTAAGTAAACCTGCCAGGCAATTGTAACCTGAAACTACTTTGCCAATTAAATGCCCAATTTTTTAACAGGCTTCTCTCCTCAGCAATTCAGTTACCAGGAAAATGTGTAGAAATATGTATATATTTGCAATAAACATTTAACATTTTTTCTAGAAAAACATATTTTAACTATTACTGATGTTAAATCTAGGCCTGGTATGATAAACATATATGCTGCAGGTAACAAGCATAATCTGTGACTCAAACACTTTTCCTCTAGAATCGAAACACAGGCTCCTATTATTGAGGCTCATTGGGATTATAGGGCACACTCTTTAAAAAGCTCTGCTTTTTCTTTCTGTGAGCTAGACTGCTACACGCATGTGAAGCTCTAATCTTGCAGTCTTCTTCTGTTGTCTGTCTGTGCACAGGCAGCTACCTTTTTTTGGTGATTGGAAGAATTATAGGCAATGACAAGAATATGTCCTTTCTGTATCTGTTCAGATAATGCTTAGCGAAAACAGAATTCAAGTCTGGATCTTGGAATCATTATTTTCATTCATTCGTTACTCAATATGCTTCTTTTAAGGATGACTAGTAATTTCTCTCAGGTAAATTCTTAAGCAGTTACAGGAATCCCAGCCTTGAGAGAATATTGCTTTAGGAGCTTTAAGGATTCTAAATTGATTTTGAATATATTATCTGTAATTTTTATTATATTACTGGAGTGGCGCTGTTATAGAACAATAAATAGCAATAGAAAAGCAATGTGAATAAGAGTACTGTAAAGAAATCAGAAAAGGTTTAGTTTATTTTCACATCTCACAATATCTTACACTTGATTTATATTTCATAGTTTCTTAGCCCAGTCATCCATTATTTATTATTTCATTTTCAAATGAATCCTGAACATCTGATTTTAGGCATTGCTTGTATGAAATTGTAATTTAAAATAGGTTGTGATAGCACTGCAAGCCAAGTGAATTGTATCTATTGTTTGTTTAGACAGCCAGTTCAGAATGCAAAATAATGCAAATAGCCTGGATAAGGTTCCATAGTAAAATTAATTCAAAGGGTTCGAAATTGTAACAGAATAACTGAAATACGGATTTTGCATCCTACGTGGCTTCTGTAAAGTAATTAATACTTCTAATTATAAGTCCTAACATTTTACAGAGGAATTTGTGGTTGCTTTCATCAATCATTCCCATGCTATAAATATCTTCATATGTATGCACATACAGAATTAATGTAATACTGAATGCTGTGTCTTAAACCCTGAGATGCTATGTGACATCCTAGCAAAGCCAAGAGGTGGGCAGAAGCTCTGGGTCTGACTTTTGGGACCCATACCTTGAGGATATTTGAATCTCAGATTTTATTCAGCTCCTTATTTAAAAGGAAAATCAGATGAGCTTGACATTGGATCAGTTTTATGAGCCTTGCAGACTGCACACACCGGCTATGTAAGAGTCTGAAGGCTTCCTTGGGGAAGAATGGGAGTGCTGGGAGCACCAGGCTCACAAGGCTTCTGCCAGGAAAAAAAAAAAAGTAGCTTTAAAATTAGGCTTGAGCTTTACAGGAATCCCAACTTCAGAGGCTGCTCAAGAAAAGCAGAAGGCTGGATTGATCCCTTTCTGGACCAAGCATACTTTTTTTTTAATCCTCTGCCAATAGCCTCCAGCCCCCCTTAGGAAAACTGGAATATCACCACCTCCTCAGCTAGACAGATTTACCGGCAGAGGGGCCTCCCTGTGGGGCTGGGCATGAATCCATCCCTGTGTTTCACAGGCTGCTCCGTGAACTGCTGCAGCAAGCCAACCCCTTTCACTGTACCTGTGTGCAATACGCAGCCGAGTGACAAGGTCACGGCTTAGTTTTTCTATGTACAAGAGTGTTGGATTGCTCATTTTTTTCTATCTTAAGGCAACGTGAAAGAAAAGCAGAACTATTTATTCTGCCATTCCACAGATACAGTGAATAATCTTGAATTTTGGCCATTGGTCTTGAAACTTTGACTTGATTGTGATAAATATCTGCTTCACTGGCAGTATTTATATTGCCATACAAATGGCACAGCATATTTCTTTCATGGAACAGCACTGATCTGGTCTAGTTTCCTTATTTGCTTTGGCTTTGGAAAGGCTCAGTTTGTTTTTTTTTTTTAATATTCTAGGGCCCTCTGAAGCACTGTTGTATATGGTGAGCATTTAAAAGGTGCTGATACCAAGACCTTGCTTTTGCATGTGCTCTTGCCTTTTATTTCTCATACCAGAGTTAAGCGTTCAGGGAGCTTTCCCGTCCTCTAAATGATAGACGTGACCAAGGTATTATGCCACTGTGAAAGAAAAGATTGGCCAAAGACAAAGGCTCTAGGAAAGACTTTCAGGATTTCTTTTAGAGAAAAAGAAAGGGGCAGGTAGAATTTCATACCACCATACAAAAACATAAGGGCAAAAGCTATGTAGTAAGATAAGGTGGGGGCAGGTAGATCCCCCAGTGGCAGGAACATGCCAGAACTGTGCCTGAAACTACAGACTGATGGCAGGGGAGGAGGATACCTGGCAGGATGATGGTGGGCAGCTGAGGCTGGAGAAGAAAACCCAGAATTCAGACCTTGCCCTTTCTGCCACTTTAAAGTGATTTCCACTGCCTGTTCAGCTGCATTGACTATCTTATTGTACTTCTCCTTGAGCCTGGGTATTTAAACCCTTTTATGCTGGGCAGTGTCCAGCCCTCAGGGAATGGCATTTGTTGACATAATCTTCCCAGACTGCACCAGAGTTGTTTCAATCAATAGACTTGATTCATGTCCCCTAGCTAACATGACACTGCTGAAATGAGTCTCCTGCCTTGTGGGAGATGTGGTTTTATCAGTGGTGACACACAAAGCTGTGGAAGGCAGTAAGTCTCAAGCAGGTTCAGGAACACAGGCCAATTGAAAACTGCCCAGATTTTCCTGGAATGCACTGATTTCTGCATGGCATATGTAGGTAAGCTGATACAGTATGTGTGCTTACAATGGGGGGAAATACTGCTATCAACCATAACAAAACTGGATGGTCTGTTTATATGTAGCCCAGTTTTAATATAGGGCAAGCAGATAATTCCTATATAATTTGGCCCTCCTTTTTGTCCGTTGGAAAAGAAATATTTCATTTAGGTATAATATTTTAATTTTTGGAGATAAAATTTCCATGTATTTTATGTATTATTTTCCCTTTTTCACCTGGAAAACAAAGAGAAGAAATGAAAATGACACAATATTTTTAGTGTCACAGATTTTAACTTCCTCCACTTTATATATAAAAAGAAAGATGCCCCCCAGATATAAATCCTGATATATACTAGGTGCCAGAAAATAAAAACATTATAATGACCAACATGGGAACCGTAAAAGCAAATTAACCTTTTAGTTCTTCTCATAGGAACATGGGCATGGCTGCACTGTCCCACACTAAACTCCCTCTAAGCCAGGGTCCTGCTTCTGCTCGGGTTTGCTGGAATAATTTCGCAGTTTTGGAGAAAATATTTTAGAAACTTACTTAAGGCTTGCACATAAAAATGCTAATGCTCTTTCTAGCACAGAAGCTGAGCCCAGCGATAGCCTGTAAATCAGTTGTCTTCATCTGTTTCTTTCTAGGCAGTCTTGCCATCTGTTTTTCATCTGTTTAACCTTGAGCTTCCACTTTGTTTCTAGCAAGTAAAAAACAGGTTTTCAAAAGACATAGGGATCACAATCCTTAAGCCTATTATTGTCACCAGAAGAAAGTGTGGGTTGAATGTTATTATGCTGACCTACATTCTTCTCTGGCTTCAGAGCAAAGTACTTACTTTTCTTCTCAAGGGCTGCTTGCGCAATGCTGGTGGCACTGCACTGGTGGTTTTATTTGTGTGTGCTAGACATGTTAAATGTACTCCTTGGCTGTGGTGGAAGAAACGATGAGAGAACTCACAGGTTGGTTTAAATTTGATTCGGAAGAGGAATTATTGTAACCATGAAGGACTCCTGGAAAGCCTAAAAGCATCAAAAATTGAGCAATAGAAAACATGTGGAGGAAGAAACATAGCTCCTATCCTGGCTAATTCTTTCCTCAGCTCAGCTTTGCTTAGCAAGAGGCAGTCTGACCTGATTGTTGCACAAAGCTGTGTGTCTTAAAAGCTGAGGGAGCTTTGCACTTAGCTACAAGTGGAGTTCAATTTAACAGAATTGCTGGGGTATATATGCTGCACCACTACCTGGGTGAATTCAGAGCTGCGCAGCTGTGGAGTCACAGACTTTATAACGTTAACAAGTAGCTGACTGCAGTAAAGCTAGAAATTGTCAAAATGCCTCGGACAGGCTGCTTTACCTTTGGCAAATGCTGATCTGCTGACATCAGAAGTTCCCTTGGGATTATTTCAATTTCTGTGTTGTGGGTTTTGTGTTTGGGGTTTTTTTTGTTTAAAAAAGTGGAAGAAGATTGAATAACAGGCAGATCTATAATAAAAATCAAGGCAAAAGGAGAAGAATTGTTCTGACTGATCCAAAATTAACTTTAAATTAGATTCACATCAGATATTTAAAAATGCATGTTGAAATTTTAAAACAGAGTACTTTCTGCAATTTCTGTGATTTCAAATGAAATTTAGAATTGTGTTCTAAGTTGGAATGAAAACTAATATTAAAACAATATGATTTTTTTTTTTTTTAAATAAAAATTCAATTCCTGCAGGGCTTTAAATACAGCAAGAAGATTTATATTCTACCTCATACGTCAAATTTAGCAATATAGAAACAAAACAGTACGCCCTCAGTTATCATGGATTGCCACCATCAGAATCCATGTAGAAAGTTCTGTACTTTATTACTCAAACTGTGCCTTGGCAGGAAAGGTCTTTTCCATAAGACTAGCAGTGTTCTCATATAAAAGGACAAAAACAGCTTTGGAAGAGAAAAATGTTGCATGAAAACATAATTTTTTCCCAATTCTCATCAAAAGTTCGGCTTAGTAACATGAGTGACTTGTGCTACCTTTCTTTTCAGCATGTGTTGAATGATTCAGCCTAAGTGCAGAAAAGATTATCAGGACTGTTTAGGAATTTAAACCAATTGTTTAGAAGGGAGAAGATTTCTAAAAGTACGCTTACTTAATCTTCTGAACAGGGACCTGGCCTGACACCAGGACATTTGGGATGAATTCCTTCAAACAGAGCTGGGATCCCCACATGAGTTGTGTGGGCTGGTAAAGCGTAGGGTTTCCATATGCACAGTTAGAGGATGGCATGCTTAACATTGCCATGTTGGCAAATTCTGCAGTGGGGAACTCTTCTGTTGTTACAGATGTATTTCTACAGCCATGCAGTTCTCTGGTGGCTTTCAGAATCCTAGTTTTTGCTAGCTTAGTGTGTATTTATCTGGTCACTAATATTCATTACAAAGTTGCAGAGCATTTGAGGAACTGTAAATCTCCCGAATTAAATTACTTTTCCATCATATAGCTGAATTTCTGTATTGTGGGAATGTTTTCAGTGACAAATGCTGGATTTCAAGCAGATGGGGTAAACAAAAGGAGTTTGTTTGACCTCAAGAATCTGAGGCCATAGTTGACCTCCCCCTCTTAATGAACCATGCTGTTCTTTGGAAGTTCCTGCTTGCGTTAAGTGTATCACCTTTCCAACTGAGGGGAAAACATCAGTTCAAAACAATGCATAACAGAACTAAAGCCATTACTTGTTACTAGTCTTCCTGTGCACCTTTAGCTTGCATGGCAGGTGATACGCTTGAAAAGGTCAGTAAGACTAGAAAATAAAATACATATAGTAGAAGGCTCAGCAGCAGGTTCAGAACCCATACCTGTTTGCTGCATTATTAGTCTTGAATGAATTAAATTCAGATGACCCTTGAGTTTTTGACATTGTATGGTTTTTTCTATTGAGTCTATCTACATACCTTTCTGATGATCACAGGTGGTATAGTCATCTTTGGTTGTCCCAAATAACGCTGTCCAAGGCATCAGGGGATCACAAACCATGGTGTTTGTCAGAAACATGCTCTGAGTTACTGACTCCAGCATCACCTTAAGACATTAATACATTAGTTGAAGATGAAAAGATAATATTAAGGACCAAAATTATTACTACAGGCATTATTCCCTTGCTGTTTATGTATAGATCTATGAGGTACCATTGCCCACCATCACCTAAACTTCATCTGAAGCTAATGATGATCTTCTGAAAACTGCAGTGAAGAAAGGAACTGAGAAATTCAGGAATAATGCAGCTCATGAATATGCCATAGGTAGATTTACAGTAAAAATGATTGTAACGATACATCCCTAGGAACTTGATAATGCAGTTTATGTATACAAAAATAAGAGTGAGGAATGAACCATAAAATAATTAGAAACAGGTAGACGAGATTAACATCATAAGATTATAACAATGACATCATTGGTAAAAAATTTTGAGCATGTTCCCATACAAACATATGAGAAAACATCGTTCTGGCCATAAGGATACTCACTTTGTCCGTAAGACACTGCCACAGATGCCAGCCAGTCCAGAGTGTGAGGAGATTAACGAAGTCTGAGAAAAAAATGTGTTTTCAAAAGAGATTAGAAACTGAGAATTTTTGCAGCAAACTGCTTGTACTCTTCAGGGAAGAAGGTTCTTGCACCAAAAATGAGATGACTGAAGAATAAAGTAGTTGAGAACTGGTGATATTTCGGTGAAAGAAACGAGTGGCTGAGGAAAACATTATATGAACTAAAGTAGGTGCAGAAGAAGAGAATTTTTGCCCATCTCTTTCTCTTATACATGTATCACATGTGTACACACACATGGATTTGTCTGTTCTTTGTGATTAAGACTCATGATGCCTGAGACACTAGACCTCCCACATGAAATTTATTAGAAATGGTAATGGTTTAGGAGACTTGAAGGAAAGAATTAAGTGGAATTTAAACCAATGGTTCTTTATGTTCTAGTTCATATCTGTTTTTCTCGTTTGGGAGACACTGGAAGTGTTCCGTGGGCTAACTGCTGTGAATGCATAAATGGACCTGATTGTGACTCTTGCCTTTCAGACTTCACACAAAACTGCTCAAGCAAGTTTTGGCTCTTTTCTTCAGGCCTAAGCTGCTTCTGGCTTTCATAACTAATTCCAGCTTGGGTAATTTCTAGCAGAAAGACACCTGAGATGGTTAGTAGGATAATATGATCTTAAAGATCAATGTGTAGTCTAAAATTATTACAAAGTCAAAAGTTGGCCAAATAGCTGTGTATACTGAGGAAATGTGAAGGACTCAGAAGGTTTCATGGATAGCTTGCAGAATTGAAAGAAAACTTTGATCTTAGTCTAAGTAAAACAATGATGAGATATGTAACATGGAAATATTTGGGAAACTCCTGAAATCCTTTGATATACTGGAATTCATATATAGGGCAAGGTAATATTTCAAGAACATCACATTTCCCCCTAATCATCCCATTATGAACGGAATATATGAGAATATAAACTATTAATCATTTTAGTCACTATGGTCAGAAAGTCTTTTCTCTATGCATTTCTGCCAAAGGATTTAGTGTAGAATACCTCATACATGTATATGTCTGTAATTGTGCTTTTGGATGAACACTGAATATTCAGTGAGCAATATAGACTTTTACAGAATTCATATGAAGTGATCCATATGAATCTACCAAGTCCCATCTCAGATAGAAGACGATTACCAGAATTAAATTTTGTGATGGTCCCAATCTGGTTTTTTTATTCCTCTGACTGAGTGGCCCACACAGAGAAATGTTCCCAATGTCACATCTATTTACAAACAATGGCATTTTTATCAGTTCTGAATTGCTGCAGACTGTAATCCAAATCTAAATAAGTACAAAAGGCTTTCCCCCCGCCCCCCACCCCCCGCAGTTGCTTTAATGCTTAATTCCAATAATTCAATGAGATGATGCTGGCTTACTGTGCACAGAATTCTGAAGTTCACAGGGCCAGGTAGAAAGAGGTCAACCATTCTTTAGTACAATGCAAGTGCATTAACCTAAGTATCTCTGAAAAACAACACGAGAGACCTACTCATGCTTACTATCTATGCAAAAGAAAATAATTGTTTACCACAAAGGAAAAACAATTTTGGCCCTCTTGAAATCAAAGTGAATTTTTTGCAACAGAAGAATTTCACTACTCATTAATCACCAAGGGGTGGCAGAACAAAGACATGCAGAAGAATTGCATAGAAAGTCACAGAAGAACAGGGAGAGCTACAAGTCACTGACAACCCACTTCTATGACAGGACATTGCCAGAGATGTACCTACATCTGTGTAGTAGATGATCCCAGTTAGCACCTCTGAAAAAGGTAGAGACCTCCAGGACATGTGTGGTGACAATCATCTTCCCAACCATCCCCTCCTCAGCCAGCATACTCCTGTTCCTGTAACAGTCATCCCCCAGCGTAATGAGCAGTCCACTGCGAGTATACCCTGGTGCCAACTCAGTGGGCAGAAATAAACGGCTGAAAGCCAATTGCCATTTTGGAGAGAATAGAATATCTCCACAGATCATTGGAGACACATGTTTTAAGAATGATTGTGAAGATAACCTGTTCAAAGTATCTCCCCCACTCTGTATACCTGCCTCCCTATGTGTAAGATTTCACACAGGTAAATGTCTGGAATGAAATCCCAGTCCTACTCAAGACAGAGAGAATTTCCCCATCAAATTCATCAAGGACAGAATTTCACAGTTTATTTCTACTGTCTGTCAGCAGAAAATAATTTCTATCTGACAAATTTCACAAATATAAGAATTACTTCTTACTAGAAATGCAAATGAAAAAACATGAGAGGAAGGTGAGCTCACATTCTCTTCAGAGAACAAAAAATTTCTCTGTTGACCTTGTTTAGGCTAGTGCTTTTAGAGAAAAAAAAAAAAATCATTTGGAAATACTCATGGCTTAGATAAAAGAATATGTTACCTTGCAAGATTATAATCCTTCCTCCATCAGGGTAAGATTTAGCTGGAAAAGTAAGAAGTTATTTGTATTTGCATCATTGCCATCTGAATAGTAATGACAGATTAGTAAATTCAATGCCTTGCTTGTGAATTTTCATGATGATTTTTTTTGAATGTGGAAAGTAGATTTGCTCAAAGTAAAATGATACCGGGGAAGATGGATGAACTGTTACAAGCAAAGACGTGTGTGAAATAAAGCCAAAGCCATTGGATTTGGAAAAATTCAGAACTAGGCACATGCTTGATTTTGTAGTTTATTGTGAGGAAAACTTATTTCCCCAAGCTGGGAAACTAACTTTGTGAAGTGGAAAGGCAGCCTCAGTCCCTGCTGACGACAAGACCTGGACTTGCAGGTGTGGGGCAAAGCTGCCAGTTTCAAATTCTACCAACAGGCTTGACCACATGCTGTGACAGGCAGTAAAAGCCATTTGGGAAGAAAAAATCCTGTTTTACGCATATGCAGTTTACACTGCTGCTCCCATATAGAGCTATGGATGTTCCAGAAAAGAATGCTAATTATTAATATCATTAGCAAAGATAATATCTTTTCAAATATTTTATGCAAACAGGATATTGGTTTGGGTCACATCAAATAGTATTTCACCATCAGCTGGTGCTGCTTATGTACACAAACATATCTGCTTAAATAAACTTTGGGGACATAGAAAGGGGAAGAGACAGGACAGTTTTTTAAACAACAGGAGAGCTTTACAGCTCTTGGTTGTACCTCAGCTAGTGCTGAAGCTATTAATTAGCTGTCACATTACTAACAATCTCTTTTGATTTAGTGAGATAGGCCTAGATTGTTAATTTATTAAAAAGTATTTATTGGGGCTCATGCTTCTCTCTGCCATTAATTCATTAAACCAAAGTTAATTGTTTATCATTGAGAAAACTGGTGGTGCACAAATGAGAATGGCAGGCAGTACATCAGTTGGGTGCCTGATAAAATCATCACAGCAAAACCACTTTGACAGCCTACAGCTCTTTTAAAAACGACGACTTCAATAAAGAAATGGAGCTTACTTGTAGGTGATTACTCCTGATGAAGCAGCTAAGTCCAGAAGTAGGTCTTGGGAGCAAGGGGGAGCAGGAGGCTTTAACAGCAGCACAGCCCGGCACTTTGGAAATAAAGCCACCTGCAGGACTATGATATAAGGAACACCTTACAGACAGGTTCGTTTGGTTTTTCAAGTTCTTATACACACCCCTTTTGATGACAGTGATAATATATAGTATCACATAGCACAGGGATTGGCGGAGAAACATTCTCAAGTGTGGAAAGTTTACCTTTACCCTGTATTGGGTTTTTTTTCTCTTTCTCTAAAAAGCGTTGATTTATATAAACATGACTCTTGGGACCACCTTAAGCAAACCTGGTATGTTTAAGCATTGAACTAAGGAGACTCTCACTCTTTCTTTCACGACCTTAGCATCTAAGAAGGACTATCACATTTTGTTCAGAGCTCTCAAAGCCCAGGAAGTGGCATTCTCACTATTTGCATCTGGCAAAGACCAGGATGCAGAAAAGTGACTGGCTTAAAGTCATGCAGCAAACAACTGCAGGTGTTAAAGAACAGTGCTCACCTGATGTCAGGCAACATCTCTCTCTGGCCGAGCACAGTGCTTCTGAGATCCACAAAAACCTGCTGGGTTCTAGCCCAGATGCAGCTGCCTTTAGGTCTGAAATGACTGTAAAGTGATTTGAATGTTCATGGATGCTTGGCATTATTAGAAGCAACAGATCAGAGACACCAGAGGTGGAGAGAATGAATTGGAGAATGAAATGAGTACATCTAACATAAAATGTTACTTCTTTTTAATATAAATTAGGAAGAGCTTTGGTCAGCCTAGATCAAAATATTTTTGTGTCCCAGAGGTCCATGGTAATTAGTAGTCTCTTGAGGATGCCTGCATAAACAGCAAGAGTTAAAAATTTAGGCACCTCAATTCTCCTGAGACATACTATTTCTAATACTGAAAATACCTCATCTTTGATAGATTTAGCTGGGCTTTGTGCTAAGATTTTCCTATCTTCAAAAATTTCTCA